AAGGGAGAAAATGAAAAAAAAACTGAGATGAGTTTAAATATTTATTTTGCATATTGCTTACTGTTATTTAATGGCACAATGAATTCATCAATGTCAGCTATGTTACATATCACAATAGTATCAGCCCCTTCAAAATTTCAGAAATTAGTTCTTACATTTCTGTATTGCATGTTTRACCATTAAAGCCAWAAAAAGTTCATGTTGGCTTGGCTACAACTGAYATAATTATTGCAAATACAATATTTTCTTATTATCATATGTTCAACTAACATTATTTCAACAAATTTATGATGTATTTCTATATTTTTAAATTTTTCTCATAAATTCAGGGCTGTCAATCTAGGTAACTGAATTACTCTTGAATGAAAAGTTATGTTATATTGTCAGTGTGACATTTTAGCATCAGTAAAATTTCTTAGAAGAATTACGATTATTAACAAAATAACAGTTAAAAGCCCTTTATCTTTTTAACGTTTTAAGTATATATATATACATGTAGAATACAAACACTAAATGTGTACAACACTTTAAACTATTTCGCATTATTTAGTAGCCTGAATATCAAACGTCTCCTCTGGGTCATGTCGCTTCTAATCAGGCTAATTATTTAGCAATTCAGAGGTATTTATATTGTACACTTTGTACTCCAGCTTACAAACAGTGAATTGAATAAACATGCCATATGCGACWTGTAACTGTACAAAGGAATGTAAGACATGTACATTACTACCAAAATAATAATAGACTGAAAAATGCACAGTGTAGACAACAGTCTGTAGTTTCTTAAATCATATATTTTAAGATGTACACAGAAATTAAATTRCTTTTAAAAATCATTCAATTATATATTTTTTCAATGCAATTTTTTTTAATAATTCCCATTTCAGACTAAAAGCGATTTAGAAAAGAATATATATATTTTTCTTCTTTTCTGAACATTAAATAATTTCCTTCTTTGTTAAAAAGRACAAAGAAGCAGAAAAATTATTTATCATAGATATAGCAGAAATACAAAACTTAAATATAAAAGGAACTCTGTAAAAGAATCTAATAAAATAATAATAGCAAAAAAAATGATTTTGAAACAAAAAGATTGGTTTAGTTTCAGTTATTTTGCTATATTTTGTTAAATTACAATGTACATAGCAAAATTCTCTTTAATAGCCTTCTTTTGATACTCTGTATGGTTAAATATCCTGCATAAACGAATTGCCAAAAAAAGACTTCATCTGAGAAAAACCAATCCCATAATATTATCAAAGATMTCCCAGATTATATACTCTTTTCATGTAACTTTGTCAGTAAACTGKGGCAAATGGTATATCTATATTGGGTACTTCTCTGCTTAGATAAATATTAATATTTAGGATTTTTTTTTACACAACTAGACTCGCTTCAACGGTTAAGTCTCACACAGCTGTTTATTCATTCTGTTGCTTGACATTTTAGTCCAATCTTTTCCAAGGAGAAAGACATTTAGAATGAAAGAGAAATGAAGGAGGCAATGCTTCTTTTTCTTCTATGTCATACCTTGCTTCTTATTGAATGCATGGAAACCAAGAATTTGATTGACAGGAATCCCAAGTAACAGAAAGAATTAAAAGTGAGACTTRGAGCAATTCTCCTATACCACTAATTAAATTGTAAATACAGGTAACAAAGTTCCCTGAATAGAGTACAGAAGACATCTTTCCTCTTTCTTCTCATGATTTCATTGCAACACTTGTGCTATATCGTAGGGCGGCATTGCTTAAGTCGCTCATTGTAATTGGCCGCAATGCTGCATAACTACCAATATCACTACCTAATGAAGAATTTCTGAGAAGAAAAAAAATATGTGATCAAAGATCTATACAAAATGTATAAACTATATGTTGAACAGTGCAAARMAARRMGWTRWYAYCRTMGWMRACASAWMA